CTCTAGCTAAAACAGCAGTAGCACCTTATTAAAAAGATCTTTGACTGCTCTCTTACTAAAAGAGAAAGATTCTTTTAGTAGAAATATATAGGAATAATTCTTGGTGCTGTGCTGTGCTGGTGAAAGTGGCTGTTGACGGAAGCTGTGACTTCGGTCTCCGCTCGGTACAGCCGTGACGATCAGGCCTGGGGTACGGTGTACATGACTGACGCAACCCCTACAGCAAGCACTTCGTAAGCCTTCATACCAGTATGCTAGCGAGTACAGTTACGACATTGCCATGACTACTGTGGGGCAGGAGATTACCTCGAGCTACTTGCTGGCCTTTACTATAACTACTGAAAAATGGCAGGATCGTTGTATCATTCTGTTCTATTGTACGGATAGTTGACGCTGCAACCTGCTTGCTCCTCTTCTACTGCCAACGCTGGTGCACATTACCAACTTGGCGCGTGCATATCTCTGATAGTGTAGGGTTGCTCACCATATTTTGCATTTTGGTCGGCCTTGGCGGGTTTTTAAAGTATTATTATTTATAGTAAGAAGGCTGTTCGTTGAAACTGAGGAAAACTGAACCTGGCCGCGGACGGAAAACAGCCCTGAATACTCTAACCTTACGCTTGAATGTAATATAATACAGTACCTGCCAATAAGTAATCACCCTGCTGCTACCATGGATAAGAGCCTCTTCACCAACTACCAGGATCGTTGCATTACGTCAGCCTTACACATCTTGTGTCGCAATACAACACGTAATTCAATCTCGCAAGTGTTACGTGGAGGTAGGTTATTATAGTTAATCCTGTATTTCCATTTCTTGCTACCTATATTCCCGCCAGATTTGTCGATACGCGCAAATATCCCCCCTTCTCCCCGCCGCCCCAAAAACACTCAACTACTATCTCATGGAGCAAAGAGTCACTATGTTCTTCAAATCACCACCAGATGCACGATATGAAATAGTAAAGAGCGAAGACGTATCCATCAGGGAATCTACCGAAATAGATACCTACACAACCCGAAGCCTGCACGATGCACAACGCCAGCGTATGCCATGTTCGATTCGCAACACAGTGTTTAATGCTTCAATTCTCCTGAATTTGTGTCTTTCACTTACGCTCGTTGTCCTTGTAATCCGATGTCAAGGTCTAAAATTGCATGAGCAAGTAATTTATTGTGAGATCCGTTTTCCTCTGCGGCCAGCTATGTTTAACCTGTTGACAACCCTATAGCACCTGCTCAAGACGCGATACGTCACGAGACTATTGTATTCCGATCAGGGTTTGGAGATGATACTAGTATTTATCAGGGAGATCCTCTCCAACGGTCGACGCAGCCTGGAATGAGCTTTATGATAGTATGTGGCCGCTTTCTGATCTAGGCTATTGCTAACAAATTAAACTAGGCTGGGGAGTCTTCCGTATGACGGGGAGTGAAGCTCATCGCTTACCAAACAAGACATACCCCTGGCCAGGTGATCCTGGATACTACATTGGCGAGCTCGCCGTGGCACACCAACTACACTGTTTGGTATGTGGCTACTTCGCATCCCGGAAGACGAAATTAACAATCCTGGAAGGACAGGCTGCGCCAGGCGATGGCTGAGGACTATTACAGAACCATCATTCCTGAGGAGTTCGAACCGACCGGTACACTTGGTAAAAAGCACCTCAGCAATTGCGTTGAGAGCATTCGCCAAGCCCTGACCTGTGCCTCTGACGTAAGTGTTATAGTATGGAAATGGGACAACAAAACCGAGAGAGCCATAAGCGATCCCAATAGTGTTCACAGATGCCGAAACTTTCACAGCATTCGAAGTTGGGCGATGCAGCACAACCGGTAATAAATTTTAACAGCAGCTTGCAAGTCAAGGGTTAAGGTCACTCTAGAGAAGCATCCGTCAATATACAAGGCAAGGTTTTTCCGTTCTTTATCTGGTCTTATTGGAGTAATAAAAAGCTTACCTTTCGATGGTAGAACTGTATACCATCGTTACGGCCCAAAAACACTTTCAACATTGTTACCAGGCTTCCACGTCCAGCTATCAAAAGGCGTCTGCTCCGACTGCCGCGCGACTTCCCATAACCTATCTATATTCTTGCACCTATCTATATTCTTGCATTGATGCTGAATTCCATGACAATCAACTCCGTGCGCAAGAATGTTGCCAGCTGTATCCCTGTCTACACACGGTGGCTCAACAGTGCTAGGACCAAAAAGTACAACAGTGGTTCTTCCAGTGGAGCCACAGAACCGCCACATAGGGCTCCCACTATTATCCTTATTTAGCAAAAGAGGGACATTTATTCCGCCTCTTACTGTACTGTAGTCAATAATTCTTTTCCTTCTCTTATTTCAGAAAGACAAGTCGTCACTAAAGAGGACAGTGACGAGAGGGCCAGTCTCAACCGACCATATGGAGACCAGCGCCCCATAATAACAGTCAGGTTGACAGATGAAACAATGGTGCTCCGAGCTAGTGCAACCCCTCCAACCAGTTAGTTAGGTGACTGCCACTAAAATTAGAGCGTCGCCCTTACACACGCAGTGGGGCAAGTCACCGGCGTGCTGGGCCATAAAAGCCCTGCTGCCCCCGAATTCCATCACGCTGACTTTTTGTCTCTAACAACGCAGTTCCTATGTCTGAGGTTATTGCAAAGCTCTTGAGGGAAGAAATACGCAGAGCTACTGATGTATTGAAGGTTACCGAAATAGCGTTTACTCCTTTCGTCAAACTCTCTAACTCGTCTCGCTAGCTTGTTGACTGTGTTTTGGGGTTTTTTTCTTGTGATAGTCGTTGCTGGGGTGAGCTGATCCGGAAACTCGAGCCCACGCCCGACGTCACCACTTCTTTGAGCCTCGTAGCCAACCAACAACCTCTGTTTCTGAACATGACCGCGACGCACGAGACGTAACAGTCCATCTGATCACCCCTGCGCCGAACACCGAGCGGCCCATTACGCGATCGTCGCTTGCTCATGGAAAAGACAAAATCGTCGGCAACGCAGAAGCCGAGTGTATATCGGATCGTAAGCGGCCTCGTGCACGAGACGGCACAGTAGACAGGCGAGTTGTAAGAAAGCGTTCACCGGCCCCGACGCCAACGGCACCGCCCAGCAAGCGAGGCCAGACATCGACGCGAGGGCCTTCTGCCAAGGCAAAGCCCAAAGTCCGAGGCCCTGGAAGGAAACAGAAACTGCTGGTTCCCGATTTCAACGATGAACGACTTGCTAATATCTTCGAGCCACTTCGAAGGGAGATTTCTGAGTACACTTTAGTAAATGGCTTCCAGGATGCCTCGAGGGTGGTGGACGCCCTGCGATGGCCAGACCCTGAGGCCGCGAAGCTAGACAACTCTCTCTCGAGGGTTCAGCGGCTGCAATGGCAGTTACAGCACTGTGATACACTGGAAACAAAAGATTATAGCCTGCCGACTTTGACGGTGATCCAGCGACGATTTTATATGGTCCAGCTGATGGCCGAATACCGGAGCGCGACTAGAGAAGAATGCAATGGAGACGGAAGTGGCGTAATCAAAAAGTTCAAAGAAGAATTGTTCCCGGAGCTGGGCTCGCAACAACAACAAAAAAGATGGGACTATTTTACTCGAACAGCAGAACCCCTCTTTCAAGCGGTGCAACGATACGGTTACGGCGTTCTCATCTTCCCGCTACGTAACGTGACGATGAAAAGGTACGTGCGCATCAAGCTCCTTTCAGATGTAGACATTAAGGCGAGCAGTTTGCAACGTCTTAGGCGTGAGTCAATCAGTGACCTTCTTGACTATATGAGATTGTGCCATCCAGTGGTAGACATTGTCCTTAGCAATGCATCAGTCCTCTTGGCAACGCTAATTACATGGGGCTTGCCACCGGCCCGCATACCAATCTCCGCGGTTGCATATGAGGATCTGGTGGATACTGAAGATATCCCCTGTACTAACCTGTTCATGTTGGGCGGAATGACCAGCTCTGAGCCGCCGGTCATTCTTGGAGAAATCCCCCCATGACCGCATCCGCTGAGCGACAATGATTTCAAGGACGAGGCGCTGGATCAAGAGGAGGGAAGCGGTACTGTTTGGCAAGTTAAAGCTGAAGAAGGCACGTTGAACGCTGGACATGATTGCTTGTTATAGGCACTAGAAGAATTTCTGCCGCAGCTGCATTTACCTGCTCTGTGCTGACAAATAACATATAACGTAATACGCTTGCGTGTGACGCGGTGACTGATGAAGTCACAATCTAAATGGTTAGATCACCCGCTTTAAGATGCCATACTACCTACCTTCACCTGGTCAGCGTTTCTGCGCATAACAGCGTTTCATGATATACCTGTATTAATTTGATGTACAGTATTCACCAGCACAGAAAACAACCTTCTTATGCATTCTGGCAGATCTTGTTGCTGGTAGAGCGCGGTAATTGATGCCGAGTGCTAACAGTCCAACATCTTCGTGCGCAATTCTTCGTGCGCAATTATTGAAAAGCATAAGTTATAGCGAGTTTCTTTCATAATAGGAGCACAGACAGCTATATACACTAGACAACGCTGAGCCCCGGCTCCCTTGCCAATTCGTCACCGATATCTACAACGCCTGCCTGCAGCAAGGTTACCATCTAAGCACATGGCGCAAGGCGGAGGTAGTTATGATACCAAAAGCAAACAAGCGAAACCTGACCAAGCCGGAGGCATGGCGCCCAATCTCTCTGCTTTCTTGTCTGAGTAAAGGCATGGAACGGATCATCGCGAAACGGATGTCATACCTAGCCATCAAGTACAAAGTACTACATCCGAACCAGGCGGGCGCGCTACCCCAGCGAAGCGCGACCGATATCGCGGCAGCACTCACACACGACGTTGAGCAGGCACGCCGCAGAAAGAAAGTCGCCACACTCGTGACAATGGATGTAGAAGGAGCTTTTGACGCGACTCTGCAACATAGGCTTATACTCCAACTACGGAAGCAAGGATGGCCAGAATTTCTGGCGCGATGGATAGCAATGTTCCTCGCGCAACGGCTGGCAAGTGTCCGCTTGGAGGACGCCACCGCGGAGGCGCTGGAGCTTCTGTGTGGAATCCCACAAGGCTCTCCTCTATCTCCGATCCTCTACCTGCTAGCGACGGCGGCGCTCTACGAGCTGCCTGGCGCCACGCACCGTTACGGCTACGCTGATGATACAGCCATGCTCTTCGTGGGAGACACATTAGATGAGACCACCGCTCAAGCTAATGCCACAATTGCAGCCATGGAGGAATGGGGCCGTCAAGAAGGTTTCGCCTTTGACGTGAAGAAGACTGAAGTGATCCACTTCGCGAGTTAGCGGCGGACGAGCCTTCCGTCTGTGCAACACCAGGACAAGATCATCCAGCCCAAGCCCGCAATGCGATGGCTGGGCATCTGGTTTGATGCGCGCCTAAACTTTACCATCCATATCACCAAGTGGGCGCAGAAAGCAAAGAGCATCATCTACCATCTGCGAGGTATGAGCAACACCATTCGTGGAATCTCAGCCGCCGCAGCGAGAAAAGCTGCGTGGGCCGTGGTTATGCCAACCCTCTTTTACGGGGCAGATGTCTGGTACCCAGGCTCAGGGAGAGTTCTGAAGGGTCATCTTGTGATAATCCAGAAGACGCTGACCGCTGCCTGCCGGATGATCCTACCTTCGTGGAAGACAACGCCCAAGACCACGCTCTGGAAGGAAGCTGGCATCCCACCAGCTGACCTGCTTCTACAACAGATAGCGGCCCGTAACGCGAACCGTTGGGCGCGTCTGGACGTCCACCACCCGCTCACTCGCCGCCTCTTGCAGCACGAGCACGAGATCCGATATGCCACTTACCCAGACGCGGCCACGACACGGCGCACACTGATGAGAGACGTCAGGCTCATCCGCAATACTGCTCTGGCCCCAGCGTCAGAGCGCCCACGATTGATTCCAAAACGCTTCTGCAGTGCAATCTGGACGGAGAATAAGGAATGTCGCCCATCGAAAGAACGTCAAGCGGAACGGATCCGAAAATGGAGCCAGACTCAGACGGGGTTGGTCGTCTATAGCGACGGCTCCAAAACTGAAAAAGACACAGCAGATCTCGGATATGCCGTGTATCGGCGGCAGCAGCTTGTCACACAGGGCTGCGGTCAGATTGGCAAAGGCGAAGTGTTCGACGCAGAGATCAAAGGCGCGGTGGAAGGTCTCCGCGCCGCTCTCGCGCACCAGCGCCCACGGGAAGGCATCACGGTTTGTATTGACGACACGTCCGTAATTGACTGCATAGGCACGACAGCACCGCCGTCGTCACAGATGGCATTCCGCCAGTTCCAGAAGACAGGCGACGCCCACCCAGGCATGATTCGTGTGCGATGGTGTCCAGGGCACACTGGGATCGAAGGCAACGAGCTGGCCGACCAGCTCGCTAAAGACGGCGCGAGAATGCCGGTAGGAGACAACCTCCCAACCGTCGCCTACTGCAAGTGCCACATGCGAAACCTACTCCCCATCGCGTTCCAGCGATGGTGGGATACAGTTGACCGCGAGGGCTATCATGGACTGCAACTTAAAGCTGAATTGAAGAAGCTCCCCGAGCTGACACTTCAACGACGGCAGCTAGGATATCTCCCAGCCGCGAGGACACAACACGGAGACTTCGCCGACTACCACGAGCGCTTCAATCACGAAGACGCCGTGATCAACTGCCCATGTGGGCGCCGAAAGTCTCCAACTCACCTATTCTATTGCAGGAAGATCCCCCGTAGCCTCAGGCCTCGGCTTGCACCCGAGCCTGCAGCTGCGGTACGGAGATACCTGGGTAGATCTTTCCAGACCTTCGTAAAGCTCGCTGACTTCTACTATGCGAAGATCAACAAGCGATACTAAAGTGCGGAAGGCGCTCTTAGCTGGCGACTAAGAAACGTATAAATCGCCCAAGCAGCGTGAACTGCTTGTTAAACCCCGAATTCATTTTCTTTTGTTACGTGGAAACACGCGTCGACGAGCCTCACGGCACCTCAAGGCTGTAATACAGCACAAGCAGCTCTCCGCTGACGGAAGCCGCTTACAGCAAAAACTGCCAATTGATCAGAAACAGTTCTAATTCGATTGGCGCGCAGCTGCTGCTATGGGAGGAGGTTCGGGTCATGGAGTTGCGACGAAGAGCCCCTGGTGAGAACGTAGGCGCGCCTCTGGACGCGCCCCGTCACGCTAATCGGAACGGCGGCACGATCCTCCGTAGAGCATAGCCAGCACGTCTCTTTGCTTAACCTAGAGCTACACCATATAGACGTTAAATAATCAATCAATCAATCAAACAACCGGGCCGGCCAAAGAGAAAGTATCGGTGATACTATGGAAAAGCTTTTGTCACGCTGATTCGTAAAAGCGAACGGCTAGCGCAGCCAGTAAACAATTTTTAGCGACGTATCTATAGGCTGAAGCATGATGGGTATGCACTGGTATTGACGGCCCAGCTGAGCGCCGCTGATTCGGCGCGCCCGGCGCGCCGCCGGTGGTTTTCCCGGATATCCACATGCCGCCGCCACCAATTGCCCAGCCATATACTGGGATATCCACTTCCCTCGCTGATTACCCTATAGCGAATAAGACGTCTGCCCTCGTGCCCCCCTCCTTTTGAGGGATTTCTGGCGATGCCCTCCCCTGTGGCTCGCTGATTGTGCAACTGCGCCGGCACCTAAGGACGACGCCTTCTACCCAGCCATAGCCGCCGTACGGCAGCCAGAACAGCTTTGCAACTAGTACTATCTGATTTCCCTCGTTTCTGCCAACCTAGCCATTTAAATATGAAGTGGCTGAGCAGGCAAAAGAGCGCTCGCGGGGTCACGCAAGAAGCCGCTGATCTGGCTGTTACCACCCCTGCTGGAGTATATCCTAGAGCGGGCACCGCAACCCAGCAGCAGCGGCGCGTGGAGCGGAACGTGATCAACACTGCCGAATTGCGAGTCAATTCGCAGAACATCCTAACGACCATTCACACAATGCGGCCAGAGAACACGAAGGCAGCGTACCTACCTAAACAGGCAGCTTTCCAGGCCTTCTGTCAGGCTAAGCAGTATCATGACTCTGACACTGTCACGGAGGATAAGCTGCTCTTGTTCCTCGTCGAGGAGGTGGCGAATCGGCCGCTACGGGGAAGGAGCCACAGGGTTAGCCCAGGGAGCGAGGAGGCCTCGCGGCTGTCATGGCGATCTGTCCGTACGTATGTTTCGGCAGTTACGGACCTCTATCGAACCCAAAAGGCGCGTGGCATGAACACACACCCATCGCCGCGCGAGGACAACGTACGTGACTATCTCAAGACCCTCCAGCGCCGGGACGCTGAGCGTGACAAAGCTAGCTTCCTGGATAAAGGTCGCGATACTCTCCTTGATGGCTATAGCGAGCAGGAATTCGAGCGCGTCTGTGCTGAGCTTTGGACACATAGTGTAGCCTCGCCAGAGTGCCACTTCCGTACACTTGTTGACCTTCTGCTTGGGCACTATATGTTGACGCGTGGCGGCGACCGACGGGCTATGGAAATCTCTGATATCTTCACCTTTGAGTTCAAAAATGAGGGCTCGACGCGATGTATGCCATTGATCCTCACCACAAGAGGAAGCAAGCAGAACCAGCACGGCAGGCTCGAGACGGCCGGAGCGCTACGGAACCGCCAGCCATTAGTCTGCCTCCTTGGAGCTCTCGCGTTCTACTTCCTTCTTCGCTGGGATCTCACAGATGAGACATTCCCAGATCTAAGTCATAAGGCTAGCTGGTATAAGATCCGACTTATCAGAGGCACTAGCACTGATTGTACGGCTGCCTTATCATATAATTCCCAGCGTGACTGGGTTGTGAGGGCCTTTAGCTACGCTGGAATTCAGTCAAAGAAGAAGACGCATATCGGCCGAAGCTCAGGAGCTAAGACCGCCGAACTAAAAGGCGTCAGCGAGGAGCAAATTCGCCGTGCAGGCCGCTGGAACCAGGAACAGATGGTCGTTTGCTATCTGAGCGCCCTGCCACGCAAGTTTATGCGTATTATGGCAGGCCACCCGGCCCAGCCAGGGTGCTTTGAGATTCGCCGAGCCAATATCACGCCTCCTAGTACCTTACTTTCCCTGATCTGGCCTGACCTAGAGCAGTGGAGAGGCCGCCAGATTGAAGACCTCGCAACAGCTGGCTTTATTGACCTATTGCTGTATTTCCGAGAGGTTATACTACAAGACTCAGTGGCTCTCAAGCCTCAATTCCCCTCAAGCCCTATCTGGAATCATCCTGTTTTTCAGCATCCAGAGTATGAGGCATATAGCCAGCAGCTACAGTCAAGTATTCAAGAGGCTGAGCAGCCTAGCCAGCTCACGATCCTGACGCAGGCTATACCAGTACTGACAGAGTATTTGAAGTCAATTGACGCCCACAATGAGAGCCGAATACTTGCGACGGAGGCACGCCTTCAGGCAGAGATAATAGGCCAATCAACCCAATTACAAGCCCTCCTATCTGGTGGCCTGACCGTCCACTTACAAGCAGCCCTCTCCACAGCTAGGCCTAGTACGGCAACTGGCCCAGCAGCAACAACAGCTACAGCAACAGGCCCAGCAACAGGCCCAGCAACAGCCACAGCCTTGCTCACAGGCCCAGAAACAAGCCTAGAAACAGGCCTAGAAGCTGTTACAGAGGAGGCTGTATCTATGCCTCAATACCGTATGTGTCGTACGGTGAAGACAGTAGAGGCTCTATGGCAGGAATGGACTGTTGGCCTCAACGGCCAGTTATCTATCCTAGAACTCAATAGACAATGGGGTAACAAGTGGCGAGCAGGGCGCCAGAGTGAGCTACAGTGGTATTCCCCACGCCTTGAGATTATCAAGGAGATCCAACGGCTGGCGCAGACACAGCGAACTAGTGAGAACACTGCGATGCAGGTAGTCAACCATCACCACCGAAAGGTAGGCTGCTCAATAGATCAACTCTGCAAGCAGCTACGGGTAAGCCGAAAGGCTCGTATGAAGCAGAAAGCAATATAGTAGCTGTTTTATAATGCATTTAATTGAATTGGAATTTTTTCGCAGCCTGACGGCTGAGTTACAATAAGGGTGGATATTTGCAACCACTGAGCGCACAGACTGGAAGTGGCGCGGCCAGGCCACTAAGCCGCTGAATCAGCCACTATGAGGAGGATGTGGATATATTGTTAGTGTAACCGCGGTTTCATGCCTCGGAACCGGACTGTGGCTGCGGTCTGGCTTACGCAGACCGGACCGCCGGTTCAGCGAGCGGATTCGAACCGGACCGCCGGTTTACCAGAGAAACCCCGAACCGCACTATTAGTC